AGAGTCCTGACCTAATAGCCCCCTACCGATCAGCCAGCAGAAAACGTCTCGGGTTACACATGCAGCCAAGGTTCCCCGAAAGGGAACGAGACTCTCCATTGGGGAATGCAGCCTGCATGACCGGTGTCTGAAGCACGTGTGAAACAACGCCAATCTATTGGTCCACTTGGCCCATGACGTCATAGGCGGGATGCCCGGAAGTATAAAAGGGCACCTGCTGAATACATCATCCACTTTAGCTGTCTGAAGGAGATGCAGACAGGCAGGCCGAAGGCATGGCTAGGGGGCGCAGCGTCTCGTTCTCGCTACATGCTTAACCCAAGACATTCCCCTTCTAGGGAACTCAATGCTGCGGAATCCTAGGGGGCACATCGGGAAATGAACTCCAACCACGCCGTGCCGAGGCGTTTGCCTCTCCACCTGGTGGGAGAGCACCAAGGAAGCGACAGACATAAAACAAAACCTTTCCTCAGAAAGGGGCCATGCCACTGACACCACGGGTCGCTCACGCAACTTGGCAGAAACGGGGGAACCCGAATAGATCAAGTGGAACATCCCAACCAAGTTAAGAGCACAGCTATCCTCAAATAGTGAGCAGAACTAGCCTGGATACACAAGACCACTGAAGAGGTTAACTAGAGAGCCTCTAGAGGAGCTCAAGAGATGATACTTAAATCCCAGGTAAAGAGAGTAGCTGCCGAGCTAGAACACAGCTATCTGCAAATAGCTATGTCCCTAAAGTCTTATGAAGGCTTGTGGACCAGAATAACATAGCCAAGATAGCCTTCCTGCAGAGCTGCTCAGACCACAGAGAGTGAGCTATCTACTTACTACCCTAGCAGGGGAGATAGCACTGTCTAGGCAAGGGCTCAAAGAGACCGCTACTTAAAGACCCTAAGAAGGGGAGCAGTCACTGAACTAGCACACAGATATCCTCAGATAGCTATGTACCTTGGAAGGGCTACCAGAAGGGGGACGGACTGAAACTATCCAGACCACAAAGAGTGGGCTGTCTACTTACGACCCAAAGAGGGGAGACAGTACTGTCTAGGTAAGGGCTCAAGAGACCGCTACTTAAAGACCCTAAGAAGGGGAGCAGTCACTGAACTAGCACACAGATATCCTCAGATAGCTATGTACCTTGGAAGGGCTACCAGAAGGGGGACGGACTGAAACTATCCAGACCACAAAGAGTGGGCTGTCTACTTACGACCCAAAGAGGGGAGACAGTACTGTCTAGGTAAGGGCTCAAGAGACCGTTACTTTAAACCCTAAGCAGGGAGCGATCACTGAGCTAGCACATAGCTAGGAAAAGGGCCCACTCCATGAGAGGGCTCACCACAATTGCAGTAGAACACAGCTAGCCCGTCCTGCCAAAAACAATGGCTGAAGGCTATATTAAGGAGGTAAATAATTCGCTAAAGAGTGAACACAAACATCATAGTCCGAGATCAAGCCTGATGTAAGCAGTAGCCACAGCACTAGAGGGCTGGACACAGCTATCCTCGAATAGCAGTTCTCTCAGATAAGGCTGAAGATTGCCCAGGCCACGGAAGTGGGCCATCTATTTAAAACCCCGAAGGGGAGACCGCACAGTCCAGGCAAGGGGCTCACGGAGACCACAATCTAAAAACCCTAAAAGGGAAGCGGTCTCCGCGCTGGAACACAGCTATCCTCGAATAGCTGATTCCTAAATAAAGGCTTCAGCACTTACTCGAGAACTTGTGCCAAGGGGAACCCAACCTAGTTATCAGAAGCTAGGCTAGAATAAAGCTGCCCTCAGACCGCCATATTCCAGAGCAAAAAGATATTCCCCATAACCTCTCTAGGTGCTGAAACACCCTGGGAGAGAAAACTCGCAAGCCTCTCTCCACAGAGTATTTAAATATATTCACACCCAGCAAGGCTCTCCACACACAATAACATGCATATTAGAGAGGCACGGCCGAGCTGAATATAGCTCCACCCACGATCTTGCAGGATCAGGGCTGAAACACTCTGCTCACACTTCATCGTCATAACAACCCAACAATATCCGTGGCATCTGACAACCCGTATAGTAGGGTGTGCAGATGCCGCAGATCAAAGCGATGACCGCGAGGTGAGATAAACTGTGTCGCGGCAACAGACACAAACCCGTGTCCCTCAGGATTAGGAACAAATGCAAGCGGAGCCTAGACATCGTGACTCATCACAATGAGCGTGTAACTCGCATGCTCTTCGCCGAGACAAAAGCATAAGCAGAACATGCCCTCGAGTGGTAGAATCCAAACACGGAGGCACACATCCCTAAGGCGCTGCTCGACTCGAGCATTATCCGCGGGATCCGATAACCCAAAAAGGGCATCTCAACCCTTCGCTGTGCCTCTGCAACAGCGGGACCCGAACCGCGAGACGCAACGCTTGTCACTCATCTCTCGAGAAGAGGGACAAATGCGAATGGAGCTTCTCATTGGATAACACTCACAATGAGCGCATTCAGAGCCCTCGAGCACTGAACACGCAAGCTCCTGACCAAAAACAGATGACCGATAGATCGTGCACACAGGGCCGTCTTTAGCTGACGTGGGGCGAGGTAGGGAGCGGGGCCCCCATCGGTCTGTTCGAGATCGCGTTTCCGTGGGGGTGTTATCCATGGTGTACGTCCTCAAGTGCCAGAAACACACACTCCCACAGCGCTCACCTGCCCTGGTCTCTCACACGCACTTCAAACAGACGGCTCCTGAAGACAGCGAAGTGGATGACGTATTCAGCAGGTGCCCTTTTATACTTCTGGTCATCCCGCCTATGACGTCATGGGCCAAGTGGACCAATAGATTGGCGTTGTTTCACACGTGCTTCAGACACCGGTCATGCAGGCTGCATTCCCCATTGTGCCCCCTAGGGGGCGCAGCGTTGAGTTCCGTAGAAGGGGAACAGGCCATTTCATTCTGCAGTTCAAAGCAGGCTTATTTTTGTGTCATTTTTATACTATTATAGTTTTTGCTAGTATTTTGAATTAGATTTTATTTTTAGATTTTCTGTTTTTAATTTTGCTTACAGTTTTAGTAATACAATAAAATGAGTAGTTTGTCATTTTTATTATTTTTTTATTTGTAAATATAGTTTTATTAGGTTTCACTTTTTACTTTGAGTTATTTTAGTACTTCAACTTAAACTAAATGAAAATGACAAACGACAAACTAGCTGAAATAAAATGTTTTTTTTTCAATTACCCTCTCTACCCTAAATTTAAATAAATGAATATGTGCTATGAGCGGTTTAAAGTTGTGCTGGTTCTTGAGCACGGGCAGCAGGTTTGTCTGTGCACAGGTGAAGCATGCGTTAATCATTAACTTATTCAGGTGGAGACTTGAATAAACAGCTAGTGACGTCGTTATTTTAATGCAGTCTTATGTTGACATAATGCTCCTGTAGGTAACTTTGTCAGGGCACGTGTGTGTGTGTGTGTGTGTGTGTGTGTGTGTGTGTGTGTGTGTGTGTGTGTGTGTGTGTGTGTGTGTTTTAGACAATAATTATGAGCATGCATAAATCATTTATAATAAACACTGAAAAATTCTATACAAAAAAAGAATTGTCCATTTTGATTTAGTGGTGTCTTTTATTTTATTTTTATTTATTTATTTATTTATTTATTTATTTTTATTAACCCTCTGGGCCTCTTCATTTTTGGGTCACACTTGGTGCCTTCATGGTCATACGGGACCAGAGCCTTGAAATGTAACAATCAATGTCAACAAAATCAATGTAATGTAGCCTACTTTTGTTTATATATTTTTATTATTATTTATAATTTTGATACTATACAATATTGATAAATTTTTATGAGCTGTTTTTTCCATCAAAATTATTTTTATTTTATTTTTTATTATTTTTCAATCAGTGCAATATTTCAGATTAAAATAAAATGAAGGCCTTTAAAGTAGGCCTTTTGAAGTAAGAATAGTGCCACCTGGAGGCGTTAAAGATAAAAACTTGTGTAATGTCATGGTGTAACCACCGGTACATAAATACATAGAGAGGCTTTTTATATATTTTTATTTTTATTTTGTTTATTTATTTATTTTTAAACAATTTTTTGACCCTTTAACATATCCGGATCATGTTCAAGATTTTTTTTGTGTGTTCACATAGCTAATGTGACATAAGACACCAAGTGTCATCCCATTCTGATGAAGCAAAAAAATTGTAAAATGTGTTTTTTCTAAAGTGACTGAAGAGGCCCAGAGTGTCAAAGAAGATAAAGGAATGGCATGTTTGTTTTAATATGTGCACCAATAAATAATTTATAACAAACACTGTAATATTCCATAAAAAATAAGAATTGTCCTTTTTTTATTCTCAAGGTGTTAACTAGCCTAATGACAGACCCATTCTTTTGTTGTATCATCTTTTGTGAAATGTTCACCAGTGTTTCCTCTGACTTTGACGTTCTGTGGCTTTCTTTCATATTCATCAATGAAGTAAACGTTTGTGTGTGTCTGTGTGTGTGTGTGTGTGTGTGTGTGTGTGTTACCATCACTTTTTATCAGTTGAATAGTAATAGTAGTACTGACCCCACACTTTTGAACCTTTGAACAGAAAACTGCCATTTAAAATTGTAATAATATTTCACAATACTACAGTTTTTTCTGTGTTTTTGATCAAATAAATGCAGCCTTGATGAGCAGAAGAGACTTCTTTCAGAAACATTAAAAATCTTACAGACTTCTGAACAGCAGTTTGTATTTTTGTGTACTTATAACTTAAAAATGCTTGTAAAATTAAACAAAAAGAAACCTTGATTTTCAGTCTTTCAATATTATAATTTTGACTTGCTTTCTAACCATACCTCTCTGAACTTTCAAATGTAATGCGCATAAAAATTGTAAGGAATTATATCATAATTACTTGCAAGATGCTACTCACAGTGTCAAAATAACATTATTAATAAGAAAGAAAGAATATCTTCATGCCCCAGACTAACATGATGCTCAGCAGTCTCTTCATATTGCATATATTGTATAAGTTGCTTAAAGTGTCTAGTTTTAAGGTTTCAAATACGTTTTTGGAGACTACAATGTTACAATTTGGTTGAATTAATGTTACATTATCATTCAGTGTAACACAGTATTTATGTAAAAATTCAAACATGCTTATTCTGATGCGTACATGTTAAAATATATAAAAGAATAAGGGAGCATATTAAATTGTATTGTGTTTTAAATGAGTACAGAATTCTTACTGACAAATGGGCGAAACCTAGGATAGTGGCAACTTTTAAAAATATAAAGTTACAGCTAATTATTATTTGGGGTGAAAGTAATTAGTCTTTTAATATGTCATAAATTGATTTTTGTTGTAAATACGCCTGACAAGATTGTTACACTGAATGACATTTTAGTGGGTGTCTTCTGTAAATCAGGGGAAAATGTATGATATTTATTTTTTGCTCGGAAAAACAAAAACAAAATTGCAATTAAATTAAACAGAAAACTTTATACATTTTTGTGGGGAAAAACAACAACAATTTACAGCAGTGTTACACTTATTGTTTTTATGCTTAACCCCTTTTTCGTCTTTGACCCGTGTATTTATACACTGCAGAAGTCTGTAGGTTTTAAACATCTCTGATTCTGTAATGCTCCACAGGCTCAGAGTATTTCAAGTGTGACCATCAGAGGTCAGTGTTCCTCTACATGAGCTCCATCAGCGGCTCCTGTCCCATCACCGCCTACCCCTGTGACTCCTACACACTCTTCCAGGACGGGAAGTGCATGGACTGTGGGACGTTCACGCCGGACGGATGCCCTGTTTTGGGTAAACTGAGTAAGCTCTGAGTTGAATGCGATCGGTCTCCTGTTCTCAGACAGATGTGCTGTCATTGCACTGTGCAGGTTATGATGCTGTGCGCTGGAGGGACACACTGGTGCAGCTGGGACAAACCAGGACATATTTCCAAACTAATAAAGCATCTCCATACTGCAGTGAGCATTTCTATTACATTCATTATTACTATCAGCTGTGGCTAGATTCAGCATTGAGAGAGAAACACTAGCGGTCAAAAGTTTGGGATTAGAGTGATTTTTAATGTTTTTACAGGAGTCTCTTCTGCTCATCAAGGCTGCATTTATTTGATTAAAAATACAGGAAAAAATTTAATATTGTGAAATATTATTATGATGTAAAATAACGTTTTTCTATTTTAATATACATTAAAATCACATGTATTTCTGTGATGCACAGCTGTATTTTCAGCATCATTCCTCCAGTCTTCAGCGTCACATGATCTTCAGAAATCAGTATAATATGCTGCTTTATTATCAGTTGTGCTGCTTCATGTTTTTTTTGGAAGCTGTGATAATTTTTTTCAGGATTCTTTGATGCATAAAAAGTTCAAAAGAACAGCATTTATTTAAAATAGAAATCTTTTCTAACAATATACACTACCGTTCAACAGTCTGGGGTCAGTACATTTTTATTTAAACTTTTATTCAGCGAGGATGTGTTAAATTGATAAGAAGTGACAGCAAAGATTTATATTGTTAGAAAAGATTTCTATTTTGAATAGATGCTGTTCTTTTTTACTTTTTATTCATCAAAGAATCCTGAAAGAAGGATCACAGCTTCCAAAAAAATATTTGTTTTAACTGTTGATAATTCTAATAATAAATCAGCATATTAGAATGATTTCTGCAGTAAAATTCAGCTTTGCATCGCAGAAATAAATGATATTTTAAAGGATATTAAACCAGAAACCATTATTTTATATTGTAATAACATTTTGCAAGATTACTGTTTTTTTTTGTATTTTTGATCAAATAAATGCAAGTCTTGATGAGCAGAAGAGACTTCTTTCAGAAACATCACAAGTCTTGCTGATCCCAAACGTTTGAGTGTACCCACTATATAATATAATGATATATAATTACTATAATTTAATTCAATAATTAATTACTCAGTAATGCATTACATGCAACACTGGGCATTTAGGCATTAGGCCCAAAAAAATCCAGTTTTGAATGCTGAAGATTAATGACGACTACAATTTTAGTCAACATTTTTAGACTAAAATAGTCTAAACTATTTCCTATTGCTAATAATTAACACTGAAATTAAATTCAAATCGCAATCATGATATATGACACAATCACGATATAATTGTTTGGTGTGCAGCCTATTAATCAAAATAAAACACTAACATTTATGTTTACTTGCATTTAACCAAAATCAGGGAATAAACAGTACGTTGCTGGAGTACCTCAAGCTAATAATGTACTTCTGAGGCATTCGACTGACGGAAACGTTTGGAAAGCCCATTAGGGAAAATCCACAGAACAATGGCTTTTTCTTGCAAACAGACTTACTGCGGTGTCTGTGTTACTGTACAGAAACTTGAGGGCCAGCAGGTCTGGTTCCTGAGTCACTTCATTCATCTGCTGTCCTGTTTCTTCCTCAACAGCCTGCAAAGAGACGTAATAAGCACAAAACACACTGTAAAAAAAAAATTCCGTAAAATTTACGGTAAAAACAGCAGCTGTGGTTGCCAGAATTTACGTTTTAGGTTTTAACTTAAATTTACAGTTAAATACCGTAATTTCATTAACTGATAAAATGTTAATATATCAACCTATTGAAGTACTGAAATCTGTTTTATAGCTTTGTAATACACTAACTGTCAGGGATCTGGAAGGAGGACCCAATTGCAGTGAGTAACAAGGGTTTATTGACAAAACAGATCAATACAAAAGGGTTGTGAGGTGCACAGGTGATTCCACGACAGGAACACAAACAGAAAGCTAGGGAAGGCCACTGGAACAGCCTCAGACCTCAACTGGCAGAATACTATAGCAGAGGCGGCAAGACCAGGCCGGGAGAGAGACCAGAGCAAGGCACCAGAGAGCTGAGCTCAGATACTTGTTGACCATAAACTCTGAAGCACCCCAGACACCAGGCAAGGGAACCAGTGGACAGGAACTCTAACACCACAACAAGACAAAACATAGCTCCACAGGAACACAAATTATTCCAAGACGGTAAGAGAATAAACAAAAGGACTAAATATTATTAAAGTAACCAACACAAATAACCAAAAAATGAACAAAAGATCAGGACTAAGAGAACTAAATGAATACTAAAAAAAGGTCAAAAACAGACCGCATCCAAAAACAAGGAGCAATACAAAAACATAGAATTACAAGAGACAAGACTAGGGCAAGACTAGAGCACAAGAACAAACCGACAGGAAGACAGGAACACATAATCAGCCATATCCACAGACAGAGACAACCACAGTGAGGGAAAGAATGACCACGACCCAGCCAAGACAATAGGGCAAGTGGCACTATAAATAGGGAGGAAATCACACAAGGAACAGGTGAGCGCAATTACACTAACAAGGACTCAATGAGGGCTAACAAGAGGGTGTGGTAATGAGGAAACCAGGAGGAGGGGCTAAAGCACATGGCTGAGAAAAACAAACAACTAGGCCATGTGCTGACAGTAACACACAACCCTAATATACAAAACTGATAAGAAAAACCTAAGAAGAAACAGTTAGTTCAACAACAAAACATCACATTTTTTGGTCTTTTTCACTTCCAAAAACGGTATACTACTGTAAAATTAATGTCTAATACATGTAATGTCCAATACCGTTTTTCACCGTATATAGTAGGGGAATTTACCGTAAACCATTTAACAGGTTTTTACTGTAGCATTTTTACAGTCTTTTACCGTTAAATTCACGTCATTTTTTTACAGTGCACTCAATATCTTCATAGAGCATGATATTTTATTCTCTAGACTTCAGTTTTAGGTTCTAAAATGTGTCTTATCTCATAGGGTTTCATCTTAGACAATTTTATTCCAGTAATACTGTAACTTAATATGAAAGCATCACACTGTTTTGTCCAGTATCAATCATAGCAATGTGTGAGTTGTTAGGATGTGTGCAGTATGTGACTTACACACCAATTAAGACTGAGAAGTTAAATATAACTCAAGGACATCCTGACACAGCGGCAACACGTGACTATATTGGATGACACTAAATGCATGATAACTCAAATGTCACGGCTTGCTCATGCAGTCATTTAATAGGTGATAATTGACTTACTGACATGATTCAGAGAGAGCATGTTCTGCAGTCTGCTGTGTTCGCTCAGAATGCGCTGGTTCTCTAGAGTCGACACGATGGACTTGAAATCTTCGACATCTGTGACGATGAGACGCAAAATGTGGAAAATAATGCACACAACACAGTTCTGGGGGAAATAAGGTGCCACCGGACAAACTATCATTTATCATCAATAATAATAAAAAGACCAACATAACATATACATTATGATTTTATGAGAAATAAAACAAATGCAAAGCAAACCAAGCTCAATAGAGCAAAAAAACTATCTTAGTTCAAATGTTATTAAAATGCAGCAGTGCTCTATTTTGTATTTGGTCAATGAATGAAGGAACGCAGAGACGGATGTCTTACCTGCAGTAAATGCGTAGTTGCCCATGGCAAGAAGAAAAGAAGGGGCTCAAGAAGCTACAAAAGCACAAAAGATAATAATTTAGATGCACAATATAGAACAATATCTCATTTAAGAATCATTTGGGGTTCCGGTATATATCTCAGCCTGTGGAGAGGCTCCTTTCGCACTTGTAACTCTTTTCAAGTTTGTTTTTGTACTTTCACCTTCTTGCCAGTATGTGGTCACTACATGAATCTATATATAGCTACATCTCACACCAACTGTGTTGTAACTGTACACCATCATGACAGAGACTATTGTCCAGACTACGTTTAGCCAGAACCTCTCACTCACCAGCCTGAGAAATACAAACCATCTAAAGAGAAGTTAAATCAGACACTACATTCTATCAGAGTTACTGATGCATCTAAAGCACATTATTGTATTTCCAAAGTCTAGTAATAAAACTCTGTGAGGTTCGAGGGCTTGGGCAGCAAACTCACATGTCTCTGTTTTGCAATGGTATCTTTCCAGACTACTTCCACAGCAATTCTTCTTCGTGTCTGTGACAGATGATGGTTCTCCAGCTCTTCTGTGCTGACGCTGCGCCGTTTCTCTGCTTCACAGGAGCCTCTTTGACTCCTAATACTCTCTCCTTTTATGGAGCCCTCAAGAAACCAATCAGAAGTCATGCACATGTCCCACACATTTGTCTCGGGGATTTGTCCCACAGATTCTTTCTCTGTGTTGTAGAAAAAGTGAACAAAAACCTAAAGTCATTTAGATCAGTGACTTGTGCATGTCTGATTTTATCACTCACTGGCAACGCAGCATGCAACAAATATCAAGACCCTCACAGTCTGTCTTCGAATGATGATGGGGAAATTCTGGCTTTACATCATTTATTTATGTATTTTGGATTAATCAGTCTAAAGAATTAAAGAACTGCTGATCAGACTGGATAAATGCAAACAAATGGTCTGTCTAAACTTTCTGAGCATCTGTCTGGACTCTATCATTCATATTTTTATCGATGCAACAGGTGTGTGTGTCGTCTAGGTCCTGAAGTTCAGAAACATGAAAGGAAGCTCAGAGGCAGGTTAATCACATGCAAACAGACCGAAAGAGAATGAAGAAATACACTCTTTTGTGATTTATTATGCCTTAAACATTTGTGCTTGAAAACAGCATCATTCATTGTTCCACAATATCTGACGTATAAACTGGTGTGAGACTCGGGTAGTGCAGGCATCAAGCTATGCAAATACAAGCGCATGCAACTCAACTTTAGCAACGAATTAACAATCATTTTAAACATCATTACATGTATATCATCACTTTCACACACAACACTGAAACTAATATGCAATTCATTTCACATCATCATACATTTAAACATGTAAGCTACTACCCTTATGAAAATGAACCATGGTTTTATTATTGTAAAACTTTAGAAACCATGTGTTTACTTTTAAACTATGGTTAGCAGTGTTGGGGAAAGTTACTTTTAAAAGTAATGCATTACAATATTGCATTACTCCCTGAAAAAGGAAAGCGTTACGTTACTTTTTTTCATCTGGTATTGGGGTTGCTTGTTTGTTTTTCATATAAAAAGTTCAATTTTTGGCAAATGTAAAAGTTCCTTTCACACTAAAAGTGAAGGAAACGTAATTTCGAAAAGCTCAAATCCTTTCAGCTGTGCTGGATTGCATAAAGAATAGAATGCAAAAAAAATTTCAACACTTTCTTCTCAATCACAAAACAATACAACACAAGTGTTATGTTCATCTAAAGTCATTCATGCTTATTAGTACACTGTAAAAATTTACGGTAAAAAACCAGCAGCTGTGGTTGCCGGAATTTTACCGTAAAAAATACGGTAGCAACATTTGAGGTTTTACGGTTTTAACTTAAATTTACAGTTAAATACCGTAATTTCATTAACTGATATAATGTTAATATACCAACCTATTGAAGTACTGAAATCTGTTTTGTAGCTTTGTAATACACTGATAACCACCAAATGCAGGAGGTGATGAGAAAGTCACATGATGAACCAAAGCCCATCACAAGCAGCTTTTAAATAATAACATATATAGAAGCTGCACAGCGTCATTCACACAAACACTAAACACCATCACGGTAACACACATGAAACTGAAATAATGCAATAAACATTAATTTAACAACATTCGGTGTAACACACAACCCTAATATACAAAACTGATAAGAAAAAACTAAGAAGAAACAGTTATTTCAACAAAAAAACATCACATTTGAAATGTAACGCAGGGAATTCTGGGAATGTCAATTTACGGTTATTCACTGTAAATTATTTTTCACTTCCAAAAACGGTATGCTACTGTAAAATTAATGTCTAATACAGTTTTTCACCGTATATAGTAGGGGAATTTACCGTTAACCATTTAACAGGTTTTTACTGTAGCATTTTTACAGTATTTTACCGTTAAATTCACAGTCATTTTTTACAGTGTATGGTTGAATAGATCAGCTGCAAAACCGTGCGGACAGGAGAGCGGTCAGTCAATAACTGGGAACACAAAGAAACTGGCATTACTTATTTGAAACAGTAACTCAAATAATTTCCTGTAAATTAAAAAGTAATGTTTTACTTTACTAGTTACTTGAAAAGTAATCTGATTACATAACTCGCGTTACTTGTAATGCTTTACCCCCAACACTGATGGTTAGTGTAACAAAAGCATGGTTAATATGGTTACCATGGTTTACATTTAGCAGACGCTTTTATCCAAAGCGACTTACAAATGAGGACAATAAAAGCAGTCAAAACGAACAAAAGAGCAACAATATTTTTTTTGTATTTGTTATGTGATTGCTAATTTTCGTAAGGGTTAGGCTGTTACAGATTCCAAAAGTTACCAAATAAAATATATAAGGTTGCAATGCCACAAGAATTAATTCAGCGTTATGCACTAAACAATGTAATGGTCATTTGTTCGTCTGTTGTTTTAACGAAATGTTTGCGAAATGTTATTACAATATAAAATAATGGTTTCTGCTTTAATA